CTGCCTATATCCTAGCCGCCTCGCGGTGGAGGCTCGAGAAAGAGCTCTAAAGTCAATATGGGGGGACGAATAAGTCCTCTGACAGATCGGTGTACGCGTCTATGCCACTATATATATATAGAGTTAACGAAAGTTTTAGGCAAACCAATCAGTATAATATAATATTTTTACCCAGTTTACAGGCAATTTTAAAGCGTTGGTAAAGCACCTCTTGGGCGCCTTCAAAACCTCGAAGGCAGGAAAAAACCTAAAAAAATGGAAGCCTACAGACCAAAAAACTATTTAAGTAACACCTAGCACAATTAGCCGACCATACAAGAAACGGTTACCCCATTTTGTCTTAGAGCGCGGCTAAGTATACAGCAACAATAAGTAATATGGTAGGCAGAGTATTTAACATCCACAGAGTTTTACAAAAAAAATATTTAGAAATCTTCGGAAATTGATGCTCAACTAAGAAAGAAGCAGTGAAATAAACGTCTAAGCACAAGTCAGGAGGAAGTTCAGCTTGTCCCTACTTGCAAATAAAGACTGTAGGAGAAGGAACGGCCTCACGAAAATATATGGCGGAGTAAGGCAGGCTGATGTTATAATGGCAGCCCATAATGGTAGCATAAAAGCGTTAATACAGTGTGGCAGCACGCCTGATTTCTCAGGGAAAAGCGTCAATGGACGCGAGGCTTCCATAACTCACAATTCCTATTGGAATTCTGATGATATTGAACAGTTGACGAAACGGGAGTGACCTAATCCGGGCGCGTTCATAAGATTACCAGTAGTTGAATGAGGGCGGGTTGTGGGGTGGGTCGTGAGGGACACGGGACAAGGAACGCTAATTTGAAGTGTAATTTGTTCGTATGTGATCGAAATCAAGGCGTTTCATTGAAATATGCAGTGCTTTCATTTGGAATGTTTCAAATAATTTTGGGCACAAACAATTTCATAGTTAGTTTGCATTCATCAAGAAGTCAAATTGAATAAATTAGAATATAGCCCTCTACTATACAGAATAACTTTGGTTATTCGAAAACACGACCTTTCCTTTTATTATCTAGCTCCGAACATCGCCACAAAATGGACGAAGTAAGAACATTTTGCTATCATTTGAATTTTAGTTTTACGCTCCATTTTTGGCCTTACCTTTTCTGGCGTGCTATGGGAATTAGCCATTGCGATGGTTTGGATATCTGTCATGTAGTTGGGATTTCCTACTATATTACTCCAGGGTGAGTCACATAATATTTTTTTTTCCTGGATATCTAAGTCTTACCTGTATTATCTGCGAATGTCATAGGCCATGTTTAACGATTTAAATCGAAGCACACTGAGTTGGTGTTTTGGTTGTTTTTATTTGATTCGTGGGCTTCTGGTGTTTACGATTCAGGGATGGCAACACGGCGGCTGACGGACACATTTCTGTTCATGAGAAATAATGCAATGCAAGATCGTCAGATCCCCGGGCCAAAAAACGATGTGGGCAATTAATTTTAAAGGTTTATCCTTTCTCTTCTATGCAGCGCTCTGAGGACAAAGTAAAGCTTTTGGGCGAGATGACTGACATTGAATTGGGTCCTTCGACTGCGTCTGAAAGTTTGCAGGAATGGCAGGGCCTTGTAAATTCTATAAATTATGAGTTTACTGTTATCCGGCAAAAAAGTAAGCTTATTTTTTCATGCAATAACGTTTCATAGTGAAAGACCTCATCAGTCTTCATGATCGACACTTAGTGACGGCCAATCTTGATGATAATCTCGATGAGGATCAAGAAATAGAGGCCCAGACTAAAGAGCTAACTCAGGTTCTTTACCTGTCACATTTTACCTTCTTTGCCTATTGAATTCGCATGCCCCTTTTACTGTCATGAGCTGTTCTGTCTAGTCAAATTGCCATATAATATGTTGGCGAGATTACTGAGGACTAGTCGTTTTGCTCTGAAACAGTCCTATTCAAAGGGGTATTGTAGATTTCCTTGCATGCTCGACGACAAGTTGATCAAACAATTTCCTGTAAAAATGCATCCATGATTTATAAGAGTTGACACTTCCAGGGAGGGTTTTCGCTCGTTTATATATTCATTCCGATTACTTAATCTAAGGAAATTTAATATCCTTTCGCATTTATTTGTTTGTCTTTTAAACACAGCTTTGTTTGGGAGTCTACCTAGGCGCTGCCGGCGTTCCTAAAGTGTTCTTCCCTTACACTCGATGCTATTAATTATCCGTTTTACGTCTTGTCGACCTGCACGTAACAACGTCCGTTAGAGTTATTTTAATACACATTTACCGTATGTAAAAGTGTTATTTGCTGATTAACTGCGTTTTGGAGGTATTTTGCGTTTTCTTCGCCTAAAGCTTGTTGCGTCAAATCTGTCCAAAACGTCTGCCATCTTGTTTGGTTTTCCCTATGTTCCATACAAGGATTTCGACGCTGTTAAAAGTAGTGGCACCTTGACTCTGCTTAGTGTAAAACTGAATGAACAGTCAGAACGATGAGGCACCACCCCACAGTCCACCTACTCAGGTAGTGGTACGTGACTCAAACACGCTAACCAACTAGTCGTGGTAGGCTGCGAGCGGCAATTGCGAAGGAAATCGCCTTTTTAGTTTCCCTATTCTTGCTATTCCTTTCAAAGTGGTAACTTTTTCTGCCTTCCTGTTCTGTTTGACTGAGCTCCGAAAGCATTGAAAAAAAAAGTTTTTGAGCTTATATTGGATTTCTACAAATATTTTGCATTTATAATGGCTATCTGTCAGTCATAGTTCCATAATACACAAACTATTATGGCTTGAAAATTGTTTTTCCGAACCCTCATAGTTACTTTTGCTAGCCTAATGGAGGAAATTTACTGTCTGCGTATTTTACTACGTTCAGTTTGCTGTTTTTATTGGAGGTTATCTAGAGGAAATTTGAATTTGGTATTTACTGTTAGTTAGAGGTGTCTTTATGATTTCAAATCCTCCGGACTACTGAACATGGACATTTTTAAAAATATTTTCGAATATATTTTTCACTTCTGGCAGAACATCCTGAAATTTCGAGAATATTGTAGTGGATCCTTGTAACCACACGCATTCTGAGCACATGTGTAACTACATATTCCTACACGCCAAAACCTTTTCATATAACGATTTTAAGACAAAAACAGTAATACATCAAGAGGCCTTTTCTGGTGGATATTCTTTTCTCTACAGTAAAGTTAATAAAAGATTTATGCAGTCT